TATATGGTTACTCCAATCTAGTACATGTATCTAAACTATCATGTGACTATTGGGAGACGGTCCCTCCAAGCCTAAACTCAGACTCAAAAGCAACTCAGCAAAAACCGACTCGCATAAACTTTTTAACAGCCCTAATTGGAAGTATACTTCGAATTTTAAAACGAAACATCCAGCTTTGAAAAAAAATGTAAGATTTTTTACATTTTTAATAATTAATTAAATTTCACTCTAGATTCTTCTAAAGATATGATTACTCTAAATTCATCGAAAATAAAAACAAAAAAGACAATGCAAATTAGACCAGCCTTTCAAAAATACTAATTTCTAACACTGGTATTAGAGAATAGGTTTAAATATAAGGACCTAGATAGGGATATTAAAGGTTCGGTCCGGACCGATTTTTGCACAGGATTATTAAGGACTGAGACTAGACCTTAAAATATACAATCCTGCATGTGATTTATTAATAGGATTATATAAATAACAAAATCTTTTTGTTTCTATTCAATAACTAGGTCCTTTTTATTTAATAAACGGTCCCTTATTTTTTTAATCAGAATGTCTAATATATAAATAAAGTCTTACAAATGTATTTGTTTCTATGTAATGCTCGAAAATGTGACCACGATAATTAATAACAATAATACTTTTCTCGATATTATTGATGCTTCTTTAAATATTGCCATCAATTATAAATCGGACTCTTTTATTGATTGTACATATTAGATTTTTAATAGGGAACGTTTATATGATAAAAAGACCGATTTTGGACTGAGTCCAGTCCAAAAAATTACAGTCCTAAGACCGAATTGAACTGGACTGAACCTTTAACATCCCTAGACCTAGAGCTTGAGACCGTTCATTAAGGGTGAGTGCATTTGAGAAAGGTACATTTAGAAATAAAATAATACAAAAAAAGCTTAGGATAAACATAACAGAAATAAAAAGTTAAAACGAGACAAACGATTAAATTTTTGTAACGAAAGCGTCTGTATGTTTATTAATATTTAAAATAGGCTACAAAACACAATCTCGAAAATTCCCAACGCCATCTCTTGCTTTGGCGTAAAGGCAGGTTGTTCGCAGCTTCTGACCAGAAAATGATGCTTTCCGTTGTTACAACTTGATATTGAGATGACAAACATCTTTTTCTTTATAGAAATTCGGATTAATAATGCAAAGATTTTTTTATTACATAACGATAACGTTAATTAAACCAAATTAGGCATCCCTGAGATGACAAATGTCTAAAACTAACAGAAAATGAATAAACGATGTGTCTATAATCTTGATTTGAACATTTATTTATATATTACATTTTTTTGTTTTCTTTATTAATCTTTCTAAAAAAAATAATTTGATATGACATATCGAAATTTTGTATAATGTTCTTGTTTTATATAAATGCTGAAAAAATTCTATGCAAAATGATACTATTTACAAGTGAAAAAGCCATGTTCGATTTATCCATTCAAATTATGTTCTATTTTTTTGAAACGTCGACACTGAGATTTTTGGCTAAAATTACAAGATTATCCGTGGATAATTCTGAGAGCTTTGTGTTATTACATGTTTCTAAAGTGGTTTGTGCATTTATTCGGCTAGTTTCTAAAAGTATCTCAAGTTTATGTTCGATTCCGTTGAGGTTTGTCTGGAAAGAATTGATAAATTCGTTTGATTGTGCTTGTCTTCCAATATTGTTCTCCTCTGATTGTGAATATATTGATTGTTTATTATCTGTGTTTGGTGTGCCGCAAGCTCTTAATACTTTTCCGAAGGAATTTGATTTTGACATTTTCAATTTATTATATTATTCTCAAGCTTAGAAATTTGATTGATTTGTGGCTCGTGTGGTTTATATATTTTTTTGATATGCATTATTATCCGTAACACATGTACAAGTTCCGTTCTAAAAATAAATTCTGCACAATTACGTAGCATCATCTTCGGCCAGGTGTAAGTGATATCACATACAATGATATAATTTTAGCGTAACGATGATACATGTAACTATTAGTGCTGCGGAGAAGCTCTTCGGAGAAGCAGCATTTACTAATTTCACCCCAAGTTCTATTTGGATGCAAGTAATTTCCATCTCACACTGGGTCTTCTAGATTAACTAATAAAAAAATGCATGAATTTTTGATCAACCTGGAAAAACAAATCCGACACGAGAAAATTAAAAATGCGAATAATGTAAAATATACGGAAAACAAATGCTTAAATCTGGCTTGAAGCACTAATCAAAAATGTCGGGGAGGCAATTTTACGTATAATCTTGTCCTTGACTCTAATCCTAACCCTAATCTAACACTAAAATTAATCTTTAATATCCTCAACCAATCAGAACTTGGGGTGTAATTAGTAAATTCTAATAGGAATACATGTAGTACGGACGCAAGTCAATCATCGGTAATGCACGTATGATAAATAATACATGTACATGTATAAATAAAAAACATTGCTTATTATTTCTATTTTGAGACCAAATATGGAATTCCCGAGTAGTTTACATCATTGATATGAACTTGTACAAATATGCATGAAAAACTACAGAATATAAAATTTTTTTTGTCTATGCATACCGATACATTATCTAGTATACAGTCAAACCTCGATATAACGAACCTCTTGAGCTGGAAAATTTTTATGTATATCGAGTTTCCTTATGAAACTTCGCTATATAAAGGTAATTTTAAAACAAAAGGTCTTTTTTCTTTCGTTATATCAAGGACTTCGTTATATCCAGGTTTCGTTTTAACTGTATATTGATTTCTAATAAATTATTCGTTTTTCTTAAAGCTCTTAAGTTTAATGTTGCTAATCTTAATTTTAAATAAGCTCTATACCTAAATGCTAAATTTATCATATTCTCTTCAAATTATTGCATATAAAAATTCATCAATCCGCGTTCGAAGACCACTTGTTGATGTTGTTGATGTTGTTCGTGTTGTTTTATTTCAAACTCAGTTTCTTTGGACAACATTGAATTGTTTCCAAGATTTTTCGATAGTTTCAATAAGACATCAATATTTAAGAAAGAAAATTTTGAATGTTTGGCGTTTAAAGGCTGCATCAATAACAACTCTTTATTTGGTATTGGTTCAACGATTGTTGTCAATTTAGCGAGTTTTTGATCAATTTTTTCGAGATGTGCCTCTAACAGTTGAATGTCTTCATCTGTTAATATTTCTTTACAGTCTAACATTTTGCTTTTCGCAATTTTTGGTTTAGGCATTTGTGATTTTCTATTTCGACGTCTTGGGGGATAAAATGCGCCACGAATTTGAAAGATCGAGTGGCGGCCAGTAGTGTCGATTTGCTTTTTATTGATTGCTGGGAAATCAGTAGATTTTAACACGGCCATTTTGCTAATTGGTTTCTATATAATATCTATATCCCGTTTTAAGTGCCATCGAAGGGCTTTATAAAAAAAAGCTCAATTCAACTGCTTACATATTCAGATTTTTGTTCACTATTTTCGAATTGCAATAAACAAACTGATTCTGCAAAAAAAATAATTTCGGCTATTAAGTGTGGGTAGATTATTAACATATCGGGTTACTAATGCCGATCCCATAATTACAAATAAACAAGGAAAGATTGGCCCTGTCTAATTTAGAAAAAAACAATCAACAATGAAAAACGTATTACATGTATATTTATTATATTTATCATTGTGTGAATGTTTTATCCTTTAATTTCTTTCTAAGAAAAAATATTGACTAATGAAAATTTAAATTTACGTAATCTCCTTTAAGAATACCACATGCTCCAATTTTATATGCATTAAACTCTATTTGCTAAATATTTAGAATTAATAATTCAACTTTAGCCACTCGAAGTTGCTGACGATAGCATTCTTTTATTGATTGAAGTTGGATTCAAAAGTTCAATGCTACTGCTCTTGCGAAACTATACAAAAACACAATCATTACGTTCTTTAATTTATCAATTATGTAAAATTATAATTTATTGTTTGAACTAGATTCGTTTCCAAATAAACCATATTTACAAATGAACGACAAAAAATTAACGTTACACCATTCGCTGGACAAAATTTTTGAGTTGCTCAAGCAACCATGCTCCAAAAATTAATTCATTTTTATTTGACGGAAATGGGATTGAAATAATCAAGAATAAACGTAGCGTGGTTTGATTCTTAAACAAATTACGAAGAATAAAAGTACAACATTTCCTTATCTCTACAATTGAATTTTTAAACAAATTACGAAGAATAAAAGTACAACACTTTCTTATCTTACAATTGAATACTTAAAAATTAATTCAATTACGGGACATTTAGATTTTCGCCATCAAAATTGCGAAATGATATATTGCTATACATACGTACTTACTAATATTGTGTACCACATCTTTTATAAATCGCTAGTATTACAATTTACATGTACATATAAAGTTAGCTTATAAATTATCGTTAGATTATCGTAGTTTTGTATACGTACCGGAACGTAGATTAACGTTAACGTTAAAGAATAATTTTACATAATCACTCTTGATAAACCTGATTTTTTGAAATCTTGTACTATGGAACGGAGCTCGAGAGCGACTATGTACTAAAGTTTGCTTTAGCATAATTCAGGAAAATTTATAATTGTCCAGTTAAATATTTAAACATTGCAAAATCAGGAATAAATTAATTTCCAATTTTAGCTGAAAGCTTAATTAAATCATCGATATTCATACGAGAAAACTTTGTCTCATATTGGTATCTATAAAAATTTTGATTCGACTGCAGTTTTCTCTGTGTTCCACTTATAGTATCGATCTTGGTTTGAATTTCAGCCAATCTTGTATCGAATATATTAAGCAGTTGTTCAGAAATAACACAACGTTTGCAACTATTTTTTTCGTTGGTATCACTGCTCTTTGAAGATGCGTTTGTTCGACGACTAATTTGATATGGTCCACCACGAATTTGAAAAATATGGCGCCTGCCGGTAGTATCGATTTCTGCTCGAGCTCTTCTTTGATTGCTATTGGTTTTATTATTTTGAGAATTGACCGTTTTTATAATTGCCATTTTCTTTTTAAGAATTATAGACATAAAGAACCTCAACTCTAGCTCTTTTTATAAAACATATTATAAGAGGCACAGAGTTTCAGACTCGATTATAAAGCATACACATAATGCTCGTTATTGTTCTCGCTGTTTAGGCAATTTGAAAATGAATCTAGGGATATTCAACTATTATTGCCTGACGAAACTCCAATATAAACGAAGAACATGTTTGTTTGTCAAGAATAGTTTGATATATAGCTATATCGTAGAATTTGCATGATCACAACTTTTTGATAAAAATAACGCTCACAAAATAAATACATTCTCGAACATAGTGTAAGATTATATTAAGTCATACATTTTAAACACATTTTTGCAAGTTTAATTGTGTGTTTCAAATCTTATGACGCCCTTTACGCGTATGCACACAGCTTTCGAATATACACACGTGTATACAATGACGTTTCCAATCAAATTTTTTTAGCTGTCGAATATAATCATTGGAAACATTTTATGGAAAGAATTGGACTTATTGTAAGCTTCCAAGAACATCACTGCGTGTACATAGCGATAGTACTCGTTATCATTCTGTTCAATTTTTTTACTTGTGATTATATAAAACCTGTGTTTTTTTCGGTGTCACCAATACGTACATGTATGAGTTTTATTGGACTTTAAGTAATTTCTTAAGTCCAATGGTCAAAATAGCGCAGCTTTTATAAGTCCAATACGTATCCAATTGACAACTCCGCGTCAGTCAGCCGTTAAATCAAGTGTGACTGTACATCAGTCAAATGATCATAAAAAGTGCAAATTCTGTCCGCAGTTTTACGTATTTATTTGCGAAAAAATTTTCTAAAAACTTGTAGAACAGTTTCGGGATAATTGCATAAAACTATAGCGTGATGTTACACATCATACTGCCTGAACTCTTAAATGCCAATGTCACAAGATAGTGGTCAATAAAATCCACCAAAGAACCGGATTATTTTATTACAGAAAATAAAAGCATTTTTTAAAAACAAATAGTATTTCATTATAATGAGCGGAAGTTCAAGTCCGTTAAAAACAAAAAAAATGTAAGCGTTATAAAACTAACAAAGAATTCTTTTTCTGCCTTTTCATTGTTTTATACTTTCCTGGTTTATCTGGTTTTTCGTGAACATAAAAAATACTGTTCTAAAAAAAACAATCTGTTCTAAAAAGCAAGCTTAGACAATTTTAGCCAATGAAGATGTGTTTCATGGAAACTTTATTACACAAATCCGACGCAAAGCCGTTATTTTTAAAAATTATAGACATCGATACCAGTTCTAAAGAAAATGCACATGTAGGTACTACTTTATGCATAATCTTCTAACAAAGGACTATACGTAACGTGAAAGCATGCATTCAAATTGAAACTGTTAAATTTCAAATACAGTGTACGTACATGTAACTAAATTTTTGACCATTGTTTATTCTCATTGTTGAGAAGTTATGTCATGTATCACATAAAATTTCAGGTTTAATTCCTATCGCTATATGTGCAACATCTATTTCTGAAATTACATTAATTTTAGCCAATGAAAATGAAGATGAGTTTTTATGACACAAATCCGCCGTAATGAGAAAACAAGAATATTCTTTTGTTCTTTTGCAATTACCGTAACTTAAATTCTACCATGCTGATACTTTGATTTGTACTCGGGAATACATTGTACAGCAGTGGCTATCCTAAGGTGAGGGGTTTGTGTGTGTTTGGGTTAGGAGGGTATAATTCACAGTAGGTAGTTTATATGGAGTATTCGAATGACTTCAAATAAAGATCATTTGCTTAGGTTTATTAAGTGTATATTATTAGGTGGGTATATTATTAGATAAAGCTTTATACTTATATAGATTCGGATGAGTTATATTGAAACTATGATTAGATCCAGTATAATATATAGAGGATATGGTACTACAAGTGGGTATTCGATATATATACGTAGTAAATTACGGTAATCCAAGCCTCAATATACGTATTCGACTATTCTTAGAATTTTAAAGAATAAAACCACACATTACACTGAACATGTTGGGCTGAACTTTTTTCGGGTTTAACAGGAGCGACTGCATTTTTCTATTGATGATTCGTCGGGAAACATTATGAGAATTTAAGATTGTTCTATAGCGTTATCTGGTTTACAGCTTATAAAGGTTTAATAAAAATGTCCAGTTTAGTAGATAAAAATTGGTTTCGCAATATGTAATTGTTTACCAGAAAAAAGAAGAGGGCATCAATAGGTGCATTATTCAAATACAAGTGACTCTCGTTATTGTTATAGAAAAGACTAATTAAAACCTTGATAATAAAAGTACGTTTATTTTTAACTTGTGACTATATCGAGGTGAGACTGTAAATGACTTTAGGGGAGGAAAAGATATACGTATGCAAGATGAGTATATATTGAAGAAAAGTTTAAAAATTTATTTAACGATAAGCGTCCATGAGTACTTTTAAAATATTATTGTCGTTTACATTCAATGTAGGAGACTGGTTATTCAAAATATTATTGGTTCCATTAGTAATGCTTTGTGCCATGTTCAAATAACCAGCTGAAGATTGTATCGGATTTGTGGTTATGTTGATTCTGTTGTTATTTTGTTGATTCATATTATGTTGATTCTGTTGGTTATGTTGTTGATTCATATTAGGTTATGTTATGATGTTGTTATCTTAAAACGAACGAAAATTCATTTTTTGGAGGAGGGAAGAAATTGGAGCTTAGTTTATATAGATGTATTTGCTGATGAGTACCTTCTTTAAAGACGAATCACGTTCTTTGGACGTCATTTTCAAATAAATATTTGAAAATTTTATTAAAAGAAACCTCCGTCAGGCAAACTGTTCAATATCTTTTTTCCTTTTTAAGAATTAAAGTTTATAAATAAATATACAAACGGAGAGTTGCTTTTGTATATAAATTATTAATGTCTCATTATTGGTTAAAGCCAAAGTAAATGCAATTCAGTTAGGGCTTGCGAAAAATACAATGTTTACACACTCTTTCATTCATGAATTTCTTTTTAAAAACGCCAATTTTTTACTGTTATGTAACTTCTCCTGTTGATTTAAAATACCCAAGAAAGCGTGACCCGAGACCCATTATAAACATATTTGCTTTTTAGCCACCGATCTATTGGGGTCTTACGTTCATCTATCAATGTATCCTCCTGTTATTCAAAGTACCCGAGAAAGTGCGTCCTGATACCTACTAACAGCTCTACATTATGCAGAAAAACATTTCAAGACGAATCGCGTAAGCTAGATTACTTGCCGATCATACATACGTAGTTTGCTCTAAATAAATTTGTAAAGATGTTCACACAAGTAGAAAGGAGTAAGTACACTAGTGTTCCTATGTTGGAACCTCTAGACGGAATTGTTTCCTAATCATTCTTGGCGACGGAACACTGAACGAATAAAACTTTTAATCGATCAATCATTTAGATCACAGATCCAAAATGTTTTTGTTACCAAAGTTGAGTGACTAATAAAAAATGTTCAGCGTGCCTTTTTGTTTATACAATTACTACGGACACCAATATATTCTTATCGATTATTGATGTTATGAAACAATTTGATTAATGACTTTTATGCACAGGATAGTTAGGGTACACTCAAGAAACATCTAGGAAAACCGGAATTCCGCAAACAAATACTTATCCATGTTACCTGTGCTAGTGGCTTAATTCCACAAAAACCACTGGACAATTTCTACTTGTGCTAATTGCTATATTAGAGTAAAAAGAGTATTGTCACTTCAAATTTGTGAACTATGCAAGTAATTATTCTTAGTATTAATACTATATAATAGATTTCTTCTTTGGAAATGGAAAATGACAATTAATAAATATATAACTGAATACCGTATTCTTCCGGAATAAGCAATTGGTCTGGACTCCAAAAATCGAGATGGTGCTTATTAGTCTCTTCATGGATTTAAGACAGTTTTTTGTATCTCCTGCTGGTGTTGCATGGATATATAACCAGTGAATGCTTATAATTCAGAATAACAAGTAAATTTTATATTGTAATAAGTGATATAATTGAATATATTTTTATAATGGTGCTTACTGGTTTTGCTACTTTTGAT